ACCACAGCCCCCCCCCCCCCCCCCCCCCCCCCCCCCCGCCTCTCCCTCTCCCTGTGGACGCCAGGCCCGCCAGGCGATGGAGAGAGAGTTCAACAACCTCTTGGCCTTGGGCACCGACCGGAAGCTGGATGATGTGAGTGCCCGCCCTGATGGGGCCTTGGGTTTGTCATTGGTGGCTCCTAGCGCCCATCGGGACACCTGACACCCCACCCCCTCACGTTCCTGTCCCCGGCCTTGCCTGCCCCTGCCTGTCAGGTCTGCCTTAGCTCCTTGGCTCCAAACGAGTTACAGACGACCCCAGACCGCTTAAGGGCGGCTTCCCCATCCTCACTCCATCTGCTCTGTGAGCACCCCCGCCCCGAGGCCCCGAGGCCCCTGCTCACACCGCCGGCCTCTGAGACGTCCTGGAGCTTCCTTCCCAGTGGGGCTGAGCCCTCCTTGTGGTATGACCGCGGGGCCTCAGCAGACAGGACACACGCAGGCCGCCAGCACCGACTGCATGGGGTGCCCTGGAGTTTGCTACACACACAGGCACATGCACACATATGTGTAGAACATGTGTGTGGGTTCCAGGCAAGGAGTAGACTGCCAGACACCACTCTCGGGGATCTGATCTCCCCAGTGCCCTGCAGGGGGGCCCTGCTGGGTGTGGGCTGCCACGATGACACAGGAGAAAAACTGGGGGGTCCCGGGGGGCCCCAAGCCCAGGTGAGATGACGGGTGCGTCATGGGCAGATCCCACCAGAGGCCTCCCATCCCCGAGACAGTTCCCATCAAGGAGTCATCCAGGGACCAGCCAAGCGCCCAGGCGGGAGGGGGGTGCATCCCACTGTGTCCCCTGCAGGGGGAGGACAAGGTGTTCCGCCGCGCGCCCTCCTGGAGGAAGCGCTTCCGGCCACGGGACCTCTCCGCAGGCGTGCTCGGCGTGTCCCCGCTGGGGTCCCTGCAGCCTCCACCGGCCCCGCCTAAGAAGGTCACGCCTGAAGGTGAGTGACGCTGTCCGCCCTGGCTGCCTGAGGCTGCACTGACCTGCTGTGGCCGTGGCCTGGCCGCCCCAGCAAGCGCTCGTACTAACAGCCGCCTGTGTGTTCTCGGCTGCCGCCTCTCGCAGCCGGGCCGGCCGGGGCGCAGAGACCGGAGACCTCCACGGTGCGGACCTACACCTGCTGACCCTCCCGGTCTGGCCCTGTGCCCGTGGCCCGTGCTCGGGGTAAGTGGGCCAGCCCAGCCGCACGGCCTTCGCCCCTCCTCGCCCTCCCGGCTGGCCCGTGCGCTCTGCTGCATCTGCTTGGTGCTCTGCTTGCTGGGGTGCCCTGCCACCCGGCCTCCACTCGAGGCACTGTCTACTGCTGACGCCCCCCTCTCTCTCAGCGCACTCCCACTATCTCTACGGACACATGCTCTCTGCCTTCCGGGACTAGCCACGGCCCCCAGGGCTCCACAGGCTTGGCCGCTGGACCCCTCCTGCTCGACCCCTTCCTCCAGGCTCCCAGGCTCTTCAGTGACTCTCCAGCCGCCCTGGGTCTCCGAATACATGCATCCACCCCTGGGCCGTCCACCACCCCAGGCCCCGCGTGTCCTTTGTCATCTCTGATGTGGCTGCGCCTCCTGGAGTCGCGCAGCCCCGGGTGGGCTGTGACTCCACCTCCCTCCTGGTCCTGGCCTGGCCTGGACTCGACCTCCAGGGGAGACCAGGGCACCGACGCGGGCTGGGCGACCTGCCAAGAAAAGGGCACTTCACCCTCTGCGTGTGGGCTATCTGGCCTCTGGTCCCTGTCCCTGTCCTGGCTCTGCCCAGTGGCCTGACTGCCATGGTTTCTGCTCCGGGACCCCCTGCGGGGCTGGGCAGCAGCAGGCCTGTCCTGGGTGAGGCTGGGGAGGAGGTCCCAGGCCTGGCCTAAGCTGAATCCCAAATGTGAATTTGAGAAGAACCTGGGAGAAATGGGCCCCTGAGCTTTGGGCCGAGGGTCCAGGTGTGGAAACAGCCCCCCATTCAGTGAGGCACAGGCTGGCCAGTGGAGGAGACCAGAGGCTGTGGTGGCCTCACCCAAAGGGCAGTGGGATGCCGCCCGTCCCGCGTGGGGTAGAGCTGCTGGGGGGAGGGGGATGGTGTGGGGGAGGGTCGGGGCCTGCGGCCTTAGCTCTGGGCAGGACAGAGATCACCCCACACCCCAGGCACTGCCAGCCCTGCTCCGCACCCTGTCCCTCGGCCCCTCAGCCCCCTGCAGGAATCCCAGCCCCATAGCGCGCCCATGGTGGAGTGGGTGTGCCCTGCCTCAGCTCCGGCTTGGGGAGGAGGGAGGCTGAGGCTGCCTCCCCTTCTCTCCTGGGAAGAGCTTGATGCTTCCCCTAAGGGAGTCGTCCCCGCCCAGGTCATCGAATGTGGGTGAAGGCCGCCCTCCACCCCTTGCTCAGGGCTCCCTGGGTGTGCAGGGACTGCCTCCTCTAGAAATTCCTACCAAGTGGGCAGCGTTCCCCAGCAGCATGGCATTCCCAGGAAATCCTCTTCCTCACCCATTCCTCACCCCCCTTGGTGCTGGAAGTGCTGGGGACCCAAGTTCAGGATGTGGGTGGAACCCAGGCTTCATCCAAGCGAGAGCAGAGGCAGGTGTGTGGAGGCCACACTCCCGGCAGGTGGCTGAGCAGCTGGACTGGGGTCTGAGTGAGGCTGCGCTAGTGAGGCAGTGCAGGCTCAGCCCTTGGCGACGTCTCGGAGGTGAGGTCTCCATGCTGGGGTGGGGGCTCCCCTCGCGCCCTGCCCTCCCTGGCATCAGCCACTGCGGAGATGAGGGCGGGGAGAGAAAGCCCTGTGCTTGGGTGATGGACCTGAAGGTCGTGGAGAAACCCCAGGCTCTGGTTGGTGGGGTGGGGACCACAAGGCCGTGTGATGGTCAGGGGACCCGATGAGCTGGTACGAGGGCGCGGCCGCAGCCGTCCTCCACTTCGTCCTCCATGCGGTTGTGTCGTGAGGCAGCAGCTGGGGGACCTGGGTCCCTTCGGGGCATCGTGGAGTGTTTCAGGGCAGTGATGGAGGAGAGGCCAGTGGGGGATGAGGCTGCTGTCTGCTGATCAGGGGAGGCTGTTTCTCAGTTAGTGCATTTGCAGAGTCCCGAGGCCTGAGCCCTCACAGTTTCCTGTCAGGTCCCTGCTCAGCACTGTGCTAGCTCTGCATCCGGAGGGGGTGCGTGGGTGCGTGTGCGTGTGCGTGTGCGTGTGCGCCCCACCAATAAACCTGATTTTACGACAGCGTAAACATGGCTCTGGTCCTTTTCTAACTTGGAGCTCACCTGCATGTCCGTCCTCCGGGCCGAGGGCTGCCCTTGGGGAAGCAGTTCCTTGGAGAGCTGAGGGCGGTAGCTTCTGCTCCACATACCCCGGGCCTGAGAGGGCGGTTTGGGCTGCTCGTGCCCAGGGGTGGGGAGGGAGGGCAGCCTGGCTGCTGGCCATACCCCTTGTCAGCCATGATCTCCTCCAGCCTGATTCCCCAAAGCCTGATTACACAACATTTGATTAACCCAGTTTGATTTCTTGTAGGCGCTTCCACTGGAGACTGGGACTTAGGCTAATTTCCCTAAAGAACTCCCCTCATTATTCATTCATCCTTCTCTGGAATGTAATTGTGAAGGCTGTGCTCTTGTTAATGTCGGAAAGTCCCTGGGCTTCGCGATAAGGGTGAGGCTGGCAGAGCGGTCGTCACTGTGCAGTGCCGGCTGCATCCTCCATGGTGGGAAGCCAGGCAGGCCATGGCCACACCCGACCACGGAGGGAACTACCAACCCTGACCATCGCTGTGGACTGTTCCTCTCACCAGCGTATGAATATGAACTTCAGCTCCCAAATGACATGATAACTACAGAGGAATAAACTTAAAAATATATCCAGCAGCCCCAGAGCCCCCCAGGTCCTGAACAGAGACGGAAGCCCTTGGCCAGCCCCAGCCCCAGCCCCAGCCAGGGGGCACCTGAAGGCAGTGGGCAGTGTCCCCGGGAGCCTGGAGGGTGCCGGGCAGAGGAAATGGGCCTGAGCAGCCCTCCTGTCCAAGGCCAGTGAGTCAGGGAGGGACCCAGGTGTTCCCTGCACCCTTCCCAGGGGGTGGGAGGAAACACCAGGATGCAAAGGCAGAGGGAAACCCCACATGTGGTTGGCCCAACCTGTGATTCCCACCAGGCCCGGCCCTCGCCCTCACCCTCGCCTGGGGCCTGAGCCTGCCTGCCTCCTCCTCCTCTTTCTTATGCGGTTTCTGGGCACACCCTGGGGGGCTGCATGTGGGGCCCTGTCTCCAGGAGCAAGTCTGGAGGGCTGAGCCCTCGGGCACCAGCGCCTGCTCAGCACCTGGGGTCCCTCTCTTCAGGGCCCCAGAGAACTGAGTCGGGCTGGAGGGGACCCCACACAGAGTCCTGACTTCTGTCATGATTCTGAAACTTATAATTTGCAATAAATCAGACGAACAGCCTGAAGCAGTTGGAATTAATAAAGTTTTTAGTGGATGTTCATGGTCCAGGGAAACTCTAGCTCCCGATGCCTCCCCCGTTGACCCTCGTGTCACGTGTCCAGTCCTTGTTCCCCCTCAGGAAGCCAGACTGAAAGCAGCAGCTCAGCGTCCCTTCCTGTGGTGGTTCTTGGGGAGCCCCCGTGCGCTTCCCCCACTGCTGAGTCTCCATCCTCTGGGCTGCAGGCCAGGCCACAGCCCCCTCTTCCCGGATGATGGATGGTGGAAGGGTGCAGTGGGATTCCATCATCTCCCACTTCCCTACGGGCTCCTGGTAATGCCACACCAGAGGAGAGGCAGGGATTAGGGAGGGAAACCCACAGATTCCAGCTGCACCCCTACCCGCGGGCTGTGGGCTGGGCGCCAGGCCTGTCCTCAGTTCATTGGAGGACCTGGCGGGATGGTAGTGAGTGCACGGTGTCATGAATTAGAGGGTGACAGGCCTCAGCAGGGGGCTGGCGTGTCTTCCCTGGCCTGTGGACCGACCTGGCTTCCAGGGGTCCCAGGGCCTGGTGACCACCAGCAATGGGAGCTCATGCCCGATCCTGGGCGTGTCTGGACTGAGGGGCGCAGGAGCGGCAGGCACCCCTCTGTCTACATCATCACGGACATCTAGCAACCAGTGTTTATTCATTTTTTAAAAAAGGAAATCCAAATAAGTTAGCAAAAAAAATTACAAAACAATAGCAAAACCACACAATGCTTAGTTATCAAAGGAAGTCACCCCAAGAGCCCCGCCCCCCATCCCGTACCTGGCAACTTTGCACAGGACACCTTGGTCAGATGGCAGCTTCACAAACAACACACAAAACAAACAACATAAAACCTGGGGGTTCCCAGTGTTCACGGCAGAAGCTTGGGCCCTGGGGACTGGGGGACAGGGCACCTCTCCCTGCTCCCGAGTCAGGGCAGGCCCAGCCCAGCCGCTGCCTCAGGAAGAGCAGACGGAGGTGCACCGTGTGTCCGGGTCAGGACACTCTGTCGCTCAGACTGGATTTGGGGGGAGGGGTGGAGCGGAAGGCTGAGTTATACTCGAAGGGAAGCTCCTGAGTTTGCCCCTGAGCGGGGCACCCGCGGGCGCTCTGGTCCCCTGCTCTGTCTCCCTGGACCCGGATGGCCCTGGGAGCTCTGAGCAGTCAGCCAAGAGAGAGCGCCCACTCCCTCTCTGGATGGTGGCTTAACCTTCGACAGGCGAGGAGGGGGGCAGGCTGGCTTCGGTGGCCTCCGTGCCCCAGTGGCGGCATCTGTGGCCAGCCTGTGGGCCCCTGGCCGCCGGCCGCAGACCACCTCAGTTGGGCAGGGTTTCATCCGGGAAGGCCACAGAGACGTCCTCCATGGTGATGCTGTCCACGATGGAGGTGAGCGAGTGCAGGTTGTGGGCGTCGGCAGGGTCCGCTGGGAGCAGATGGTCTGTGGGGAGAAGGTGGGCGGGGGTCACCTGGCGACAGGCGTCTCCAGCTCAGGAGTGCTACTGCCCTTCCCAGTGGCACGCGTGGGACAGGTGCCTCCTCCCAACTCCGCTCCTGGGGCTGGGCTGGGCTTGGAAGCAGCTATTCCGACTGCCCTGGGAGTTGGAGCCTGGGTGGTGTGTCCTGGGAGACGGCCCTGCCCTTGCTGGCATTAGGCAGCACGGACTCGGGACTCCCAGGGACCCCTGGGGTAGGGACAGTCTCCTCCCTGTGGAGAAGGTCAGCCACTGGCCACCAGGCACAGGGCAGGAGCTGCAGGAGGCCCAGCTCTAGCTGGCCAAGGCTTGTCCACCCCTGGGGCCCTGGGTTCAGCAGGTCCCCGCGGAGGCCGAGGGGAGAAGCCGGGGCAGGGAATAAGGGAAGAGGGGCGACCTGGGCTGGACACAGGCTGAGGGATTTGAGCCAAGCTGACCAGGTCCCACCTCACTTACCCCCTGGGTTGGGGCCGAACTCCAGGGCGCTGCCCCACTCTGGACTGCAGGAGGCGCTGTGGGAGCTGCATTCACTGGGTACCTGCTAGACACCGAGGCCCAAGGTCAGGCCCAGCGGTCTCTGTGGTGCCCTCTGTCCAGTCCCCAGGGCAGAAGCTCCTGTGCCCAGGCTACCCCTCCAGCCCAGGTCATCCCCTCCACTGGGAGCATCACAACTCACCCCTTCCCTGCCCCCGCCTGGCCACAGAGCCCCAGCTTCCAGGCCTTTCCTGGCTTCCATCTGGGGTGGACACCAGCTTAAAGGGGTGCCTGGTTTTCCTGACCCTGAGATCAGGGTGTCCGGCCCAGCCAGGGCCTCTCTATGCAAGTGCCGGGGTTCCGGGTGGGGTGGTGGGGGTGGAGCTGTCCATCCCCAGGCACTGACCCGGTTGACTCGGGACTTGTTCCTTGACCCTCCTCCGGACCCCTGCCCCCCACCCCCATCTCTGCTTGTCCTGCTGCCTGTCCTATCTGGAAAGGACACGGGACACAGGGATGGCTGGGCGCCCAGCTCTGACCGAGGACTGTCCCCGAGCCCACGGGCAGGTGGGGCAGCCACTTACCCCCGCCGGGGGGCCGCCCCGTGGGCAGCGCAGCCCGCGCTCCTCCTGGCGGAGGGAGCTGAGCAGGGCCTGCAGGCGCTCGATGTACTGGATGGCGCTCCGCAGGATCTCCACCTTGGGCAGCCGCTGGTTGGGGTTCAGCAGGGTGCTCCGCTTCAGGGCCTCGAAGGCCTCGTTCACCTTCTTGAGCCGGCGTTTCTCCCTCAGCGTGGCCGCCCGCCGCCGGTCCACGGACACGGACTAGCTCAGTCCGCTCGTAGCCCGGCGGCTCGAAGCCCTGGAGGTGGACGGGCAGGTAGTTTTCCCCGTCGTAGAAGTGGGGCTCCTGGTAGAAGTAGGGGGGTGTCTCATACAGCTCCATGGGGTCGGAAGAGGCTCGTTCCTGCCACTGGCCCCCAAGCTCCTGCAGCCCCTCACGCCAACTGCTGGGTGCCATTTAAACCCTTCCCGCTGGCATGGAACCAGAGATAAATATAGCCAACGCCACGGAAACCTGAGCCCCCTCTAAGCTGTTGCTGCACATCAAGACGTTCACAGTGGATTAAAC